CCTTCCTTGTAAATCACTTTGGCCTATATTGTAATTTACTATACTTCCATTGTTCATGAACACTAGCAAAACAGTCCTACTGGGAAGGTGAAAAGAGCAATATTATTCTAGGGAAAAAAGAGAGAGGAAGTACATTATCTAAAGGTCCATTATAGTATAATGTGTGGTGTGGTACGGTACAGTAAAATAATGTCAAAGTTGGAGTTCCTTTACAGCAGTTGAAGTCTCATCTTGAATTAAGTAGTTGTAATTCATTTACGTTTCCTGAATAAACTTGATAAGTAAGAATATGTGTTTAAAAAATGTAGACATAAAGATGAAGACTTTCCTAAAATAAAATAAATGCTGCTACTACTACTCATTTATAGAAAGTACTTTTCTTTCTCTGCTCCAGCACTGAAAGAGTAGCATTTGGAAATACCTAGCCTTTAGTTACTTGCAACCAGTTTAACAAACAGCATTATTTTTATTTACCTAAGACTGGAACCAATATGCTGACATGGCATGGCTTCATTCCAAGAAAAAAATGAACTTCAATTTTAATAATTCTGAAAAGGACATGGTTTTCCAAAGCAAGGCACACCAATATAATATTTGAATTGTTTGGAATTTGGTCATTGCTTTCACATATATTCTGTAGCTTAGCTTTTGAGAAAAGAGATTTCATTAAGGAAAACCTTTTTTATTAAGAAAAAAACAATAATAAATTGAATTATTTAAGGAATTTAAGCATCTGATACCTTGAATACATATATATTTTAATAATTACGAGATTATATTCATTTCATCATCAAGGAAGCAAACTGCATACCTTTAAAATGATAAATTTAGGCTCTTCCCCCCCCCAAAAAAAGATTCAGGATTAATTTGTACAGGAAATAGCTTATTTGGGGATTAGACATTTTAATGATTACAAAATTGACCACATTCAGTGGCAGACTGGAAAGGAGCCTAATTTTGCTGAGCCATTCAAACAGCAAATTAATCCTATTAACCAAAATGGAGCCTATATACTTAGTAATTTACTTACTAATGACTTTTAGACTGGGTGTTCATTATATGAACATTTTTTTCCAATAAATGGGAAGAAATTAATCATCTCTAGAGATTTTGTGATTTCCAAAACAAGATAAATGAAAGTGTACTTCGCACTAGATATTACTTGTGTTATTCATTATAAAAACTATTATATAATATTACTAAATTATAGTTTAGATGCATCATTTGTTTTTAAATTTTATTTTGCATGCAGTAACAATAATATAGAAGTTTTATATGTTCTGTTTTCATTCATGATTTTACCCATTATTTCATAAAAAACTAATGAATCAATATGTGGTGGGAGAGATGTTGGTATTCCAACTATGCATAGATATCATACAATAGTAGATATGGGGGATTACAGTAGGTATGTTGGTTTGACCTGGGGTGGACAACTTTGAAATGCCCAGTTTTACTGAAATGGTTTTACACTATTTTACTTTGATTCCTGTCAATAATCAGCAAAAAAAAAAACATTATTGTGTGTTTGTTTGCCACAAAATTTCTACAGCATACAGAGTTTCAGAGAGTACAAAGTAGAGTTCAGAGACTGGGTTATAGGTTGACCATCTCTGGCTTAGATCCAAAATGGTTTTTGTTTGTTTATTTTAAAGAAAGTCATTTTTCTGCAAATTCCTTGGTGCTGTGTTCCTGGAAAGCACACAATACCGTCATTATTCTCATATCATAGATTGCTTCTGAGAAAGGGGGGAAAGTGAAAAGCTTTAGTAGTAGTAGTAGTAGTAGTACTAGGAGTATTATATCAATTTATATAACTGCCCATCTCATATGCATGACTCTAGGCAGCTTACAATAAAAATGAATAGACTACAATACGTAAAATACAAAAACATAAAAATAAAAACAAAAACACATAGCCGCGTATCATAAAACAGCCATCCATATAGCTAGGAGATGGGTTCTGTTACATACTTGGGGCCGCAGGCTTAGGCACAACACCAATTTTTCAGGGTCTTGCAGAAGGCCAACAGAGTCATGACTAGTCTGATATCAAAGGGAATGGTGTTCCTCTGGGTCCTATTCCTTAGCTGATGGTACCTAGAGCATACCCGTCCTGCCAGATTGGGTAGGATAGGTAGAAACAACTAGGGAGAAGCAATTCCATAAGTAACCTGGTCCCAGGGTACAAAAGGCTTGGAAGGTGACTACCAGCACCTTGAATCGCATCTGGAAGCACACTGGAAGCCAATGCAGCTCATGGAGCAGTGGTGTCACATGCACTGAATACACCATTAACTGCCTGTGCTGCTGCATTCTGCACCAGCTGAAGCTTCCAAATACTCTTAAAGGGCAGCTCCATATAGAGCGTGTTGTCCAGTCTGGAGGTTTCAAGGACATGAGTGACTGTGAGCAGCCCCCCCCCCCCCAGTTCAGAAACATTCCATAAACATGACCTCTTTTCTGTTCATAGTAGATAAGTTAGATTCAGACTGCATTTACATTACTACAGAATGGCTTTTTTAATACCTTCCCTTTAGCACTTTATTCCAAGATTATTCCTGTTTATGGTTTATACGTGGAGTAAATTCTGTATTGTCTTGATGGGGAACTCATAAGAGGGCTTTGTAATCTTTATTTTTCATAAGTGTACAGATTGCAAAATAAAGTTAGCACTGTATTTGAGTAAGAATTTCACTGATATGTAATTTCTATGAATGAATACCTTTAAATATATCTCCAGAAGGAAAACATAGTATATTAAATTGTTTGTTATCTCTGTTTTTGTTAATTTGGGACCAATTTGGGTTTTTTTTCCCTTAATAATGTATCTGTTTTAGTCACTAAAATTTGGTTTTGTGAAAATACTATAGAAGCTTCTTATGTATTTGACAATATTTATAACCCATCCCAATTTTTAGCAGATTCTTGTGTCAAATAACAGGTTGCAACAGGGAAATTTAGTACAAGAGAGTATAAAAGCAATTAAAACAACCATAAACCAAAATACCAATGAAGGACTGCAATCTGAGAATGGAATTTTAATTGAGTAATAGAATTGGATATGTCTTCACATTTCAGTTCCCTTACTCAGAACAAAAGAAAAATGATTATAATATTCATTAGATTTATATCCTGCCTTTTCCCTAGAAATTCAAGACTGTATACATAAAATTCCCTCTTCCAATTTTCGCCCACAATAGCTATCCTATGAGGTAAGTTGAGCTAAAAAATAGCAGCTGAGATGGGACTTGAACCACAGCTTTCCAGTCTTAGGTCAACCCCTTAATTCCACACTATGTTAGCTTTCTTGACTTGATATTAGTCATAAAGGTTCTACTTCCCTCTCTTATTACCTTGAAAGAAAGATATTTCTTTCCCCATGAGAATTAGGATGGAAGCATAAGCCTGGAGTTTTCTCTTTGTGCTGGTTAATTAGCATTGATCATGAACAATAACCCTAAAAATCCACATATCACACATAAGTTAATGGGAATTAAGCTACCAATGTCTGATCAGGAAAGTGACCATTGGGGATCTTTAGTTTGGAATGAAGGAAGAGACATATAGAGGGCTATGAAATAATGCATGCCGTAGGTAATGTGGAAAACAATAAGTTTGACTCCATCTTTCACAATGTTAGAACTTAGTATTCTATTGGACTTAAATGTGATTAGGTACCAATAGGAGGAAATGCTTTTTCACACAGCACATAGTTGAACTGTGGAAATTGTGCTAAAGCTGACTGTCTGGATGATTTTAAAAGGGAATGGATAAGTTGATGGAGGATCAGCTTATCAATAGCTATTAATGTTAGAGTCTATTGACTGCATCAAGGCATTCTGGCTTCAATATTTGTTGCTAAGAAACACTACAGATCTATGGATTTTCCTTTCTAGTCCTGGCTTGTAACCTTCCCAAATGCATTCAGTTGGCCACTGTGTGACACTGAATGCAGGATTCTACAGGGCTATTGCTGCTTTAATAGGGCTCTTTAGACTTTGGGCCCCTTCCAACCGCCAGTTAAAGCTATTTTTTAAGAATCAGCTGTGGACTATTCTGTTGTAGAGCATTGTTAGACTTTTAATAATATTTATCTTGTCATACCTGTTGTGGCATAAATGTGCTGCTGCTGCTGCTGCTGCTGATTGGCTGCACAGTCAGCCCTATGTTTAGATTGCATTTGGCATTTTTGTCTACCTATCAAGTCCTTCCTAAGGATCTGGGATAGGCAGATATTGTTTAATAATATTAACGTTATCGTTGCAGGATGTAAGCTGTTTCAAGTAAAGCTGCCTTTTGCACTTATTGTTGGTCTCACAGTCAGCCAGATGTTTAGACTGGATTTGGCATTTTTATCCATCTATTGAGTCCTTCCCAAGGACCTGTGACAGGCAAATGTTGTTGTTTGATGGTGTTAAAGGATGTAAGCTGTTCCTAGTAAAGCTGCCTTTTGCACTTATTGTTGGTCTCACAGTCAGCCAGATGTTTAGACTGGATTTGGCATTTTTATCCATCTATTGAGTCCTTCCCAAGGACCTGTGACAGGCAAATGTTGTTGTTTGATGGTGTTAAAGGATGTAAGCTGTTCCTAGTAAAGCTGCCTTTTGCAATTGACTGATGGTGATTTTGCCAGTGCTGATGGTCTTCAAGTGGTGCTTCAGATGTTTTGGAATTGCACCCAAGGCACCCGTTACTATTGGTACTATCTTTGCTTTCTTTTGCCACAGTCATTCTATTTCTATTTGCAGGTCTTTATATTTTGTCATTTTCTCCAGTTCTTTCTCTTCTATTCTGCTTCTCCAGGTATTGCAATGTCCACTATCCAGACTTTTTTCTCTTTCTTATTAACAGTTGTTAAGTCTGGGGTGTTATGTGGCAGGTGCTTGTCTGTTTGAATTCAAAAGTCCCAGGACACTTTAGCTTCTTCGTTTTCTATTATTTCATTATTATTATTGCTGTTGTTGTTTTGTTGTTGTTGTTATTATTACTTTATCCAGGAGGCCGTAATGAAGTCATCATCACTGAAAACAACAATAGCATAACAGAACAAATTACAGATGTTGTCAAACAACCTGCCTTTATCGCTGGAATTGGTGGTGCATGCTGGGTAATACTCATGGGTTTCAGTATCTGGCTCTATTGGCGCAGAAAGAAGAGAAAGGGCCTTAGCAATTATGCAGGTAAGAACAAGAATTGTGTTTAAAATAAATATTCAGCAATAATATATCTAGTTCACAGAATAAATTGAGTGGATTAAATCTTTGCTTATTATGCTGTGAAAGAACAAGAATATGAAAGGCTTTAAGTGCGCTGCTCTGTATCACATTTCATCATTGCTATCAGAAAGCTGTTCAATATTCACATAATAAGTACATCTGATACAAGAAACCCAAGAATTTTAGATGCACATTTCTACTCAGAGAAACAGAAATTCAGCTGTTTATTTGCAAAAGTGAAGAAGGAGGTATATAAATAAAATGGCATCAATAAGCTCAGATTACTAAAAATCAAGTCCTTATATCATCTTTACTTTAAATCATGCAGTCATGACCAAATTAACTGAGATGGCCAATATGTCTTAATTATGTGATCTTACTTTCACCATAAATGGATGAAAGGGAATCAGAACATTCAAATCCTGTGTACAACATTGTCCTAATTTGCTGTTCACTAAGCAATTAAATAAACAAATTATAGCTGAGTTAAAGATTTAATGACTTTGTTTGATAATACTGGATACATTGTAAATAAGCATTCTATTTATCTTTGACTAAACAGAACAGTTTAAAACACTGGAGGCATTCCAAGTGAATGCATGTCATATTTTTCTATTCATGAAAGAAACAGAAATATATAAGGATGAATTTTGGAATCTCCTTTTATTTTTTATTCTATTATTTTGGATCACATAAAGTTTTGTTTCCATGGTCTGAAAGTAATGTAAAAAATGTCCAAAATGTGTGCCTTAGAAATCTGATTTACATTAAAACACTTTTTTGTAAAAAGGCCCTGTGGTTATCAACTTGATCAACTTAGTTCACAACTGAATTGAAATCAACAATAAAGCAAAAGGACCTTTAATATTCCTCATGCTGCCTTCTGGATTAAGACTGGTATGAAGCAGAAATGCTAATATTGCATATTCCATTGCAGCTAAATAAGAAAGCTGTGAATTTCTGTAAAATTTAGCTATATTATTTTTAGAATAAAAAAAAAAACATTCATGTTCTATTGGCAGTTCAATCAAATTCTGGCTGTGTGCTGCTCAGATCACATTTTAGAATCTTACTGTTTTCTTATTGATTACATACAGTGAACACTTATGGTTATAATTAAAAAAAAAATGTTTGGTTTGCACATTTTTATTTTTTCCTTTTTCTTATTATGCATATACCTATGGACACTTTCAACATTCTCTATTTTTAAGGAAACAACTAAATTCTGTTCAAAAATTATATCATTAAGATCAATGGCACCACAGGTTGTTTTGTTTCATCACCTAAAATGATTACACAACTTTTTTTTTTTTTACATATTTAAGAGGGGAGTAATAGATTCAGTCCTTTATGCAGACTTTCAGAAACATCAGATGTGCTAAATACGTACATTCTCAAGCCTCATTATTTAATTGTTTGACGTCTCTGTTATGTAAAACAGCATGTTTCTATAAATAATCTTGTAACATCTAACAATCTGTAGATTTACCATATATGCAAAATATGTGTGCAGAATAAATATCACTTAAACCATGCAGAAAATTTAATTCCTTGCTGGCAACCACATACTATTAGTCAGCACAAAAAAATTATGGAAAAAAAAAACATCTATATTATTTATCTTCAAATATTTGTGTATATGGTATTAATTTCTGTAACATGTTAACGTGTGTCATATAGTACACATGTGTATATTTATTGTTAAATGTTGCATTTGCTTGATAATGAAAATTCATAAACAATTACATTGGAAAGCAGATCATAGCATCTATCAGCCAGCTTGCATGTCCATATAACTATTTCATATAAATGTCAAAAAAAAATAATAATCATGCACTTATGGTCAATCCTTTATCATGGGCTGCTGCTAATGCTTAAAGGTGAATTGCTATAACTTGAGCCTGATTTTAAGTCTCATGGAAAATTCATTTTTGAAGGACACCCTTGCCCTGTAGTTGGCATTGCATAAGAGATTTTATAACTCACAATGTATTTACTTTTCTTGTTTTGCAGTTCAGTCCTTCACCTTCACCCCTGCAGGTACTGTCCATTAGTTGTCTCTTACCCCCAGCACATACAAATATAGCATATAGTGAATCAATTATAATCATTCAGATTATAAAAAACTTAAAAACTCATGTGCAAGAATCAGCATTCTGTTTATCAGTCACACTAATGTGGTATTGATTATACTAGTGATTCTAAAAAGAATGCTATATTATAGAATTAATATATTTTCCTTACAACTATGCTCATACTCTTTCAGCATTCTTAATTTATCATCTTCTTAATTATTTATTGAAAAATAAATTAAAGGGCACTGTTTGAAGAAAAAGAACAGGACAGAGTACAAGCATAAGGATTTCCAGGCTTAACTTGCAAATTTTGAGGTAATAAATCTGTATCATAGTCTCCTGCTTTTTGTAGATTTTTTTTTTTTTTTGTCTTTTGAGTTTACGTATATGGCAGATATAATCAAAAGTTAACACCTACCCATAAAATTCACATGGCAGGCAGTAATGCATTCATACACAACCTATTGTAATAAAATATATTTATAAAATTCAATAATTCTTTCATACAAATAAAAAAAAATTGTTAAACCAGATCTAAAATTGACTTCTTCGGTATTTCTTTATCAAATCTAACACATAATTGAGGGTAATAAAAATAAATGAGGCATAAATAGTAGATTGTAAAGAATTCATCCATGGTATATATGGTCATGGAAAACAATAGGTGTAGTTAAAGTAATCTTTAAGCTCAATAATTATATTTTTGTTTCATAATATTTACCCATGTCTATTCCAAATAAATTCAGAGTATTTGAGGTGAGTGTTCCAAAATAGACAAATGATTAGATACACATCAAAAGGTTTATAGTTTGCTTTTATTTTTTTAAAGTATCAGGATGAGTTTAAAACATTACAAATTTATATAAACAATCAGATAGACAGAATCATCAGTTACAATCCACCACAGCTGATAAGAGCTTGCCAACAAGGTCTTCAACAACTGACTCATGTGGAACTTTCTCTCAAACAAATATGCTTCTAAAGTCTTTGGGTTAGAGAACCTCATGTTCTTGTGATTTTAGGAATGAACAGGATGGTATTTAAGGCTTCATCTAATCATTACCTTTTGAATTGATAACCAATAAATCTAGTGCTGGATTAATGTAACATGAATTAATGAGCATATGATCATCAAGACCCTGCAGCCACATTCTGAACTAATTAAAGGTTCTGAAAATTCTTCCCTATTTGGAGAACATTGCTTAATGACTGGCTTGACTAGTTAAATCTATACAAAAATATAGAATGGTATTTACATTACATGGAAATGAATACCAAAGCCACAGAATAAGTTATTTCACTTGTTTTGAATCCATTTTTTAAAAGATTTTTTATCCCACCTTTATTATTTTTATAAATAACTCAAGGCAGCAAACATACCTTATACTACTTCCTCCTCCTATTTTCCCCACAACAACAGCCCTGTGAGGTGAGTTGGGCTGAGAGAGAGTGACTGGCCCAAAGTCACCCAG